CCCCAAAACCCCAAAACCCCAAAACCCCATAAATCAATAAGAAAAATTTGAAATTCTTAATGAAATCAACAGATGTAATTTTATATACTTTAGGTGTTCTAACTTAATCAAGGTAAAGTCCTATGATTTCTATATAATTCATATCATAATTGATGGTCATGTTAAAGGCAGAATTTGGTTGAAAGTCCTTTTGATTTTAGTCTCTCGCAATTACCACATTGCTATAATTCCTACTAATTGCCATTTGTTAATTCATACTCGAAGTGCTCTACCTCATCTTCAAATTCGTCAAGGTTGCTGTCATCATAAATACTGCTCTTTTTCTTGTGGAAATTTTAATGAACTGAAGCACCCCCACCAATGCTTGCTGTGCTCTTATTCACATTGCTCATATTCATCAAACTTGTCAACTGTGATCCGTTAAACCTTCTTTCATTGGGTGCTAGCCTAAGAGGGGATCTGCTAACTGATCGATTGCTCTTTAATCTACTCGTATACTCATGATTAGAGTCTCTGCTACTCTAGAAAGGCTACTATAATATTTAGGTTGCTATCTGCTATTAAATGTTATCAGATTTCAATATTTAAATGGTTGATTGCACCTTCTATTTCATGTTATTATGTTGCTTTTTGAGTTATCTGTAATTCTTTAGGCTTTTGCCATTTTAGCCTTATATCTTGCAGCTAACAATTTCACTGGATTTCTGGCGCTTTTGGTTCTATTTATTGCTAATAATTGACTTAAAATTAGTGATGGATGAAGATTCAACTGAAAGCCTGTTCTAGTTGTGAGTCAGATTGGTTTAGTAGTTTTCATAAACTCTTGACTGCTGTTATTTTTCAGTTGACTTTGAAAACATTTCCTAATGGACTGTATGATTATTTATTGTAATAAACTATCTGCTGTATCCCTAAGGAAATGCATTCTATCTTTAAGTTAATAGTTGCAAATTATTGCTGCTTGGAGTTCTCAGATAGCTGTTATTATCATATTCAGGTTAAATAGTCTAGTGCTGATTGGCATTATTATGTGTCTAGAATAGATTTTGGAATGACTTCCCCAAATGATTTTGCTTATTAAGCTATAGATTCATTCTAGTTGGTGTAATGCTCTAGAACTCATTCATGGATTTCTGTTTCCTGAGTGGGGTCATGTCCCTGCTGCCTGTATCTTTGAAGTTGCATCTACTAGGATTTTCTAATGATTTGTTTTTGTTATTAGAATAATGCTTGCTTATGTTCTAACCTGGCTATACCATAGTATTCCTGCTTGCTCTGAGCTCATCAATCTTTTGGTATTTAAGTTCAAGCTTTTTCAAAGATTCTTCATGCTTTTATTAGATGATGCGCTGTCTTCTCTTCTCCACTGATTTATTTTTCTGTTCATAGAGCAACTCAGGATCAACGAATGATTTATTTCTATCATTTCTAATGATCTAAGGCTTGAACTAGTCATTAAGTGTCTCTGAAGTAGGAACTATATTTTTCTAACCTGTTACCTTTCTAATAATTGATTTACTCTATGATTTCTTAGGTTGATTTTTGGGCTAAGCATGATCAACGTATGGCTGGGTGATTTTAACATGTTAGGCTTAAGGCTAAAAATTACTGTGCTACTTTTAGGACTAAATGATTACAGATTTATTATTCAATTGCCTATTTTCTCTTTCATAGGTCTAACTCTACCCTACCATTTCAGATTTTTAACTGAAATGATGTGAAATATTTCCCAAACTGAATTCCTCACTCTCTTATTTTTGATGAAAAGTTCTCTTTTGACTAAAAATCATTGAAGATGCTTATCTTGGAGTATATTTTTCATCTTTTAAGAGTTCCTTTAGAACCTCCTCTGCTCTTTAGATACTTTATAGCCTTTGATCCTTTCTAGATTCTATTTCTTCAATACTGTATCTGCCAAATTGTTTCTCGTCCTTTTCATTGAATGGAGCACATATTGATTGATTATTATTTGTATAGCTAATAGAGGAACCTGTATTCATACTGCCAGATATAGCACTATTAAGATTTCTGCTTTATTATTTTGACTGATTTTTCCTGAGAGGTGTGAGATCCTTATACTTATTCTCAAATTAAGTCACCATTTGATCGATTAACTTCATTGAATCATCTTATATTTCTATATTAACTGGTTCTTGACAGGATTCGTTATTTATAATGCTGCTGTTCTGCTCACTAAACATTTTCACCTTCTGTATTTCACTGATTATTGCAGAGCTATTCTCAATTTTAACTTTGGGTTTCTTGCTAAGCTAGGAATTATTACATGCAGTAGTAAGTCTTTGACTCTGCTTGGGATGCTTGATCTTATCAGGGATCTTGTAGTTTTCCTTTTGAGACTGCTAGGTCTTTAGCCCATTATTAAAAGAAGCATTGATAATTTTACTAACTTTTTAATGTTCTTTCTTAGTTGCCTTAGAATTAATGGAAAATTCTTTAATCACATTATTTGCATTTTTAGATGTCTAGGCTTATTTTTGCTAATAAGGCTGCTACTTATTTGTGATCATTTGAAGCATTTTTTTTTCTTCTTGATTTATTTGCTCGAGTTTTGATTCTAACTCTAAAATAGGATGAAGCTGAGTGCTTAGCTAGTGTCTATTTTAGCTTTTAGTTTGAATACTTGACTTGACTGAGACATTCGATGCTTTCTCAAGTTGATATTGTAAGCTTTCATTGGATAATTCTTGAATTAGTTTCTCATATTTCTATTGAATCTAGCTTTGCTTATCCATCTATTATTCATAAGAATCCTATCTTGAATGGCCATTCTCAATGATGTTTTACGAATCATTTTTTATCATATTTGAGATATCTAGCATGTTTATGCTACTCTAATCTATCAAAAGTGAGTCTGAAAGCTTTGATTCTTCATTAATTGGATTCTTATTGAATCCTTTTCGGCTTTGAATCTACAGAGGCAGTTCATCCTTAGAAAAGCTTAAGGTAAATTCTTGTTGTCTGAGAGGAGAGGGTGAAGCAAGGTTATTGTTAAAGCACATTGAGCTATTGTTAAGTAAGGATTTTCTGTCAGATCGCTTTCGTCTTCTGGTAGAGGGTTGTCTAAAAGATTGCTGCTGAGGCGTTTGAATTGAATCGTATTTTTACATCTGCTTATCTTGGATCAAGTTAGTCAGGTTTGATGATGTTGTACTTGACTGCATTATTTGTTATTGCTTGAGTTCCTACTCATCTTAGATCACGTCATTTTGTGTAGAATGAGGAGACAGAAGTGGGTTCTGGGGTTCATCAATCATGAAACTAGGTATCTCTATATTGTTTTCTTGCTTGATTGCCATCAGTGCTTGCTTTAGGAACTCTATTTAGCTTTTGAGTCTTTGGTTTTCAGCCATTACATCAGGATTCTAGGCATTCATAATACTACTTTGAATTGAGAAGTTTTACTATTAGTTAGAATCTAGTAAGACACTTGAAGTATTCTTGATAGTATCGTAGACACTGTTATCCTTGCTGAAAGTTCCTGACTTGCTTCCATCTCGATTGAATTCTGGCGATTTCACCAATGATGCTTCCTTTGAAGAGAAATTGAAGTTAGAGGAATCTCTAAGGACTGAAAACGAACCCTGAGCAAAGCTGTGATTTTAAGCATGTGACTGCTTAGATGGGATATAGGACTGAATGCCCTCTAAATGATAGCTATTCTCCTTCATTTTTAAACTTGCTAAGTTAAATTTTATTAAAGTTAACGGATATTTCCAGAAATAAAATCAACATTATCATTAACATATATCTTCAAATTTGTCACCCCTGGGGTTTTGGGGTTTTGGGGTTTTGGGG